GGTTACTAGTTACTACCGTCACCTTCGTAGCATCGCTGTTTGACAGAGAGCGGAAGGGCTCGTGATCCCCATCAGCTTTCCGGTTTCAACACTTCGACTGCTGTGGAGCTCCTGGGTATCTGTAGCCGGTTACCTCCGTGCTGGTCCAACACATACAGGTACACACATTTGAAAATATACTCTGGTCCTGTTGTAAAGGGGGCGTTCGGTAAGCAGGTACTCAAAGGATAACCTTCCTGGCCAGTTTCTGTTGCAGTCACTCACTGGGTTTAGGCCCATAACTAACTTCCTTATTCCGACATCCACCCCGTCCTAAGCCCACGATGGATGCACCGAGCTAGCATCAAAGAGCAAAATTAATCCCGCAGGTAGCTCAGTGCACATTGGGATGGGGTTCAATCCTGGTCCTGCGGAGCAGGTTTCAGAGATCATCATTAAACCACCCATTTCTAAAGGCCTGGGACACCTGAACTGCGATCGGCTCAACAGGTGAGTCGTTCAGTTACGTCATTTAGGGATCGTTTAGGACCAGTCTTTTTTTCTTTTTGCCCTTCGGCTCTGAAGGACCAAAGCTCTCCTACATGGCTGCACGACTTATGGCCTCTGCTCAGGATTTACAGGTCATTTTTCCAGCCCATCAGCCTGCCTGAGACTGACCGGACTGGGGGAACAGCTGCTCGTCAGAACCATTTGTTTCCAACAACAACAACAACAACAACAACATCAAGGTCTCTGCGTTCACACACCCACTTCCTCCCGTGGAGAGGTGAAGAGTTATTTACCTGCCTGGCCGCGGCGGCGCCCTGGCCTTTCGGCAGCGGGGCTCTTCTGTTCTTCTTGCCCAGCATGTCGGCTCAACAGGCGGCCACGCTGTCGCGGGGGGAGCCGCCCCTACACGGGGAGTTGACGAAACACGGATCACCTCTCCAGAACAGGCAGGAACGGGGTCGGGCCAGACTCCGGGAGTCACGATGGCCTGGTTGTGCGGGGAAAAAACAACAACAACCCCATTACCAGCTAGTCGGCTCCGTCGCTTCAGCGGTTAAGTTCAAATACCCTCCTTTTAATTTCTCCCCCCGGTTAAATCGCCAAATTTCTAAAGGCCTGATCCAATTAACTGCGATCGGGGGAGAGCAGGTCACGTCTCTAAACAGTGGGGGAGATCCATGAACTTTTTTTTTTTTAATCGCAACGACGATTTGTCAAACAGAAACTCCAGTCCAGGAAAGCAATCCCAAAAATAAATAAAACTAGCCTGCCCGGCACAAATATCCGTGTACACCACATAACCTAAAGCGCTGATCTCTAAAGTGAGAAACTTCCCAGCCGAGTAGAATAATATACGACACGGAACACGGTAGTGCAGCCTTCAATTTAAAATAATCAAATGTGTCTTGACGTTATTACCTTAAACAAATACTGGTGTAGTTACCGAACGGGTGACTCCACGTCTTCCGCCCCTTGGTTGACAAACACAACAGACGCGAGTGTAAACCTACCTTACAGCCCAATGCCTAGTAAGACTTTTTTTTATTATTATTATTCTTCTTTCTTTCCTGGTCACAACAAGCCACTCAGCGAGCATGTGACAGCGCTCTTCGGAAATACAGGCGAGAGACGGGGCGGGGCGAAACAGCGACGCGCCTGGCAGACAGCGACACCTGGAGGCCGGAGCCGGCAGTGACGCGCCTCGCCCCGACCCGGTGAGCTGGACCTTCACTTGCTTTTTATCACTTGCACTCTGTATCTGCGTTTCCCGCTAAGTTATATATAACAGGCAATGCTGCAGGTCAACAAATCCACTAGACGCGCAGTCAGGGGACGCCAATGCACTCTGTGTGTGTGTGTGTGACATGGCTAGACTTTTTGGAGAGTTTTCGTTTTGGGATACTTCTGATTCAAATGAAAGAACATGCATCTGTTTCATCCGATCAAACAGATTGAAAAGCGAGCCCCCCCCTGAGCCTCATTTGCGGGACAACAGGAATTAAATATCCGCGAAGGAACGAGTAATAGGTTTATCCCAGGCTGACAAGAGACGAAAAGAAACACAACGTTTCGGCTGTGGAGAAGAAGAAGGCTGTCCAGCCAAAACGTTGCTTCTTCTCTTCTCTCTTTCAGCACGGAAAAAAAACTTTTACTCGCTCCTTTGCAGCCTACGCATGCTGACGCAGCTGCCTGCTTGAATTACATATTTGTATTTTGTGCTTTCTAGGTCATTTGACGCCGGTGACGGGAGACCCTGGTCTGGCTCTCTGCTGGTCGTCACGCAAGCGTCAGCTTTCAATTCCCCAGTGCCAACTCGTGACTTAGTTGTCAATTTGATGTGTTTTTCACTTTTGTGCACTTTTGTGCGATGGCCAGGGCGCTTGAATGAAATTGTTCCAATAGGGATATTTTGTTGGCATCACTAAGCGTGTTTTTTGAGCTGTTCCAACACGGTGCCTGTGAGGGGCAGCGGGTGGTCTTGAAGTAACCAGGGTAGTTGGTCTAAGAAAGGATACAACAATTTGATCTATTTCCATCGTCATCACCGAAAATCAAAGCCAAAGTAAGAATTACTACACGATTAGGTTGTAACCGGACTTAAACGTCCCCCCCATAATCTTGATAAATATGTTCCATAGATTGTAATTCTGCGTTGCGTTTGAACTCTTTTGATTTGCTTAGACCACATCTACACCTGCTTTTTAATTATCTCATGCTTTATGCATTCTCCAGCCTACCCGACTGTCTAAATACTTTAGGACATTATAGATATTAATGCCACGCCTTAGGGAGTTTATCTCACCTGTTGACAACTAAAATAAATATTAACAACATTCTTTACTTCACACCAAAGGTACAAAAATGTAAATAAGTGAGCTCTCTAAGGTAATCCTAGCTTCCAAAATCTCTACTTCATTCCGGTCAATGACAAAAAGAACTGTAATCCCCCCCAAAAAAATAAATAAATGCGTCATACAGCTATAAAATCTTCTTCGGGCCTGAGGAAGTCCAACTTTGTTTGCGCTTTACGTCACTTCCCCCTCTTCCTCAGCCCAATCAGCGCGTTGCGTTGGACGCCGTTACCGGGGTGACGGCCTAACGAATTTTGAATCCACCAATCGGAAAGCCCTCCCCGGGGCATTTAAAAATGTAGCGGAAGGGGGAGGTTATTCTCTTTTTTAAATGCGGAGTGTCTGTTTTTCGGAGGAAAGGTAACTGAATTTTAATTGACTACTGACTCGTTTGTCTTAATAATAAACCGTATGTTCCTAGGTTCGTGAACATGCTTAAAGAACGGAATTCGTTTAACTGTGTTGAGTATTCAGTATCCTGGGCACTTTTTACTAACCTTCAACTTGTGCTGAGCGAGGCCTGGTTGTTTTGACGTAGCTGGTGTTTATGTATATATATCCTTTGAAATTTAAAGTATTCAAAAGATTATTGCGTTTGAGTTCTGTTGCCTAAACTAGTTACCTTGGAGCAGATGAGTACGCAAAGCTTACCTCAGCGGTTCAGAGAAACGGGGAACCTAACTTAACCTGGTGTTGCTGCCAGACGTTTCTGTCGGCTCTCTTTAGTCATTTGCTACAGATGGATGTTTAATCGAGTCGTCTCCTTTTCTCCAGGCCAGCTTGAGCTTTGATCAAGCTGTAACTGAGCGGTCTCTAACGCCTCTTTCTTAAGCGCTCAGGGCCGCTGTGAGGCTGGGTTAGCTGAGTCGTTAACGTGACAGGCTCAGGGAGGGTTGTGTGCTTATGCGTGGTCTATCAAGTATCAAGTACAAGTAATACTGAGAGTTGGCTAATGACAAAGATGTAGAAAGCGCTGGGTATACAGTGCGTCTTTACTTCTGGATTTAAAAACTTAAAAGTATTTTTCAGTGCTAAATGGCATGTGGCTTTTGAAGCCGTACCGGTGTCTTTTCGTTGTCCGACTTTGCCAAGTGGATCATGTCAGAAATGCAGCTCAACGTTAAATTAACTTGAGATTTCATGCAGATACGAGCGTAACTTTTTTTTTTGTGTGGTAGTTCAGTAAGTTACACGAACCCCTCTGGCGCTAACTGGGCTGTAGTTCCACGTCAGGACCTTGCTTTCTGTTGAAAGTTACTTATTGTAAAAAAAACCCAAACAACAACAATCGTGTGCATCTTATTTCCTAGTATTGTATCATCGGTTTGTTGCTGCCTGAGGAGGTTTACGTTTTAGGAGGAATGGTCCCACCCTTCTACCTCATGGAATTGACTCTTGAATTAAGTATCGCAGTTTGTTAAAACGATGCTTCACACTTGAAGCCATAGCGGTGTGTGGGTGGGGGTTAACGATGACACGTCTAGGCGAGTGGACTACACTCACCTCTCCCCATCCGCTTCGACCTCCGCAGGGTGGCTGACGGCTTCTGACGAGCATGGCGCACTTCGAGTTTGAAAACGACCTGCAGAATATCCTCAAGCTGGACATGCCCATCACAAACGCGCCCATGGCCCGCTGGCAGCGCAAGGCGAGCTCCACCTCAGGGGCCGGGCAGGGCTCGCTCAACAGCAGCAGCGTCTCGCCTGGCAAGTCGATGAGCCGCTCCCTGAGCTTGTCCAAGACGCCCGCGAAAACGCCAGGTAAATTGGCACGATCCCGGCCCCTTGGTCCTTTCAGGGAAGTGGCGGGGGGGGGTGTTCATTAGGGTAGCCCCCACCCCCCTGCTGGTGTACTGATCGCCGGTCCTGCCATACAGTACGGTATTGTGAATTATAGGTGCTGGCATAATGATGTCCATTTATACCTCTCATAGCTTAAACGTTTGCAGACAAGATGGGCGTTGAGCTTTGTGGGTAGTTGACATTTGGTTTCTATATGCGGTATAATGCAGTTAAGTCTTTCCATGCCTGAACAGAGCGTGTACACTTGCAGATCAGGTTATTCCACCGGTATAATGTTCCCATCACAGCAAAGTGGGGATGGTCCATTGGAATAAGTGTAGTAGCTGGTTACCAACTTGGTTGAGAAATGGAGGAGGGTCTTAAAGTAACATTTTTGGTTCTATATGCATCTTATAGAATAGCAGGTTTGGAAACTGTAATAGACCTTTGGGCTTGGTGCCTGAATTGAAATGTCCGTCGAAGTGAGTGTCCAGCTCCCCACCCACTTCACACTGGTGCTTCCCTTCCCACAACAGGTCGAAACACGAGCAAGGCCCAGAACACCCCCTCCAAAGCTGGGGGCGACCGCTACATCCCACACCGGAATCCCAAACAAATGGACGTGGCCAGTTTCTTGATGAGTAAAGAGAATGAGCCGGTGGAGTCTTCATCTTCAGTAAGCATGTGGGCTTTGGGTTTTCTCATGTTTTAACCTCCTTCCCTCCTCCAGCCTGTTCCTTTCCACTATATGGGAATGAGTAATAGGTTTATTCCATGCTCGGGGGGGAAAAAGGAGAAAAAATGTTTCGGCCGTGAAGCCTTCTTCAGGTCTTCACGCCTGAAGAAGGCTTCACAGCCGAAACCATTTTTTCTCCATTTTTTTTCAGCATGGAATAAACCTATTCCTTGTTCCTTTACAGCCTACGCATGCTGACGCGGCTACCCACCTGAACTAGTTTCCACTATATGTTCGTTATGCAGAGAGCCTTGGTTTAAAACGGCAATGTTCCTTCCCAGGGCAACCAGAAGGCCTGGTCTGTGAACCTCAATGGTTATGATGTTGAGGATGTCAAGATCTTGCATTTAGGAGGAAACCCCATGAATGCACCAGAAGGTCAGTCTTTCACCCTGTGCCATATAATCTCCTTCAAGAGCATGCTTAAATTTACCCTTTCACATTTGGTAGGTATTGTTAATGTACCAAACTAGTATCTCTAAATATTCAGTGTTCAAATATGGGTTTTATTAAACAAGACCTTTTTCTTTAAGGCTAAAACTCTTTCAGCGGTATTCTTGGTTTGGGTTGCATTAACTATGAATTAAGCTTAGTATTATCTGGCATCCTTGTCTGGTCAAGAACTATTTAGGAATTCAATATAGAATCAGGTTTCCCTTACTGTAACTGATTTTGCTTTTTTTTTATTTAAAACTCCATGCCTAATCTGTTTTACAGGCTATCAGAAAAACCTGAAAGTCCTCTATAGCCAGGGAGCCACACCTGCTTCAAATAAAAAGACGAGCCGATACATCTCCTCTGTGCCGGACAGAATCCTGGATGCTCCCGATCTCAGGAATGATTTCTGTAAGGTGTTTTCTTGTGGACTTCTTATAGAGATGGCAGATAGTGGCTGATCATGTTAGTTGTTTGTTCATCTTTTCAGTAGGACCAGTAACAGGACATGTCCAGGTTATATGTGGATGATTTTTGGTTAAGTGGACACTTCTCTGTAATCCAAGGTGGCTTATTAGTTTAAGGGGTGGGTAAGGGTACTGTTTGAGCTACTTAAACGTCTCCAGATATTTCTGACGTACCTTAGTTTGGCTGCCTTTCCTACTAAAACTCATGAATTCCTTTTCCACTTGAGGAATCTTCCCACATGCCGTTTCTTATTGCCCTGCTGTTTTCCCTAGATCTGAACCTCATTGACTGGAGCAGCCAGAACGTAATGGCTGTAGCTCTGCACAACAGCGTGTACTTGTGGAACGCCTCCACGTGCGAGATTACCCAACTGATGAAACTGGAGAATGAAGAGGACTACATCACTTGCGTGTCCTGGGTCAAAGAGGGAAACTTCCTGGCTATTGGGACAAGTGATGGGAAAGTGCAGGTAAAGATCATCTATTGATGCACGTGGCTCGGGTTTCCGATGTCCTGCGCGGTGGGGTTACCGTTTCGTCTTGAGTCGGGTGATGCAAGTTTAAGTTTCTGTCTGGTGATCAGAGTCTTTTTCCACCTTCTAGCTCTGGGACGTGGATTCTCAGAAGCGGCTGCGAAGCATGGCGAGCCACACTGTCCGTGTTGGCTGTCTAAGCTGGAACAACCATATTCTGTCCAGGTAACTTTCTATAGGTTTTATCTATATACTTGGGTTGGGATGAACCTGGGCCTGATTCATCAGATTGAGTACCGTGGCATCAGGTGAAGTTGACTGCCCCCTGCCCATCCGTTGAAGGTTTACATCCTAGTGTAGCATGTTCTGGAAGAAAGAACTCTGAATCTCTTGCAATGCTCACGTGGAGAACACATTTGAAGAGGCTGCATCATGGATCAGGCCTTGCTATATGGTAGACTTTTATGCTTTGTGGTGAACCTCATCACATCCTGATTTGTAACTTAGTGACTTTTCAATGGGGCCATTTCATGAAATCTCTGCCTTTTTAAGCAGCCATTTGTCCTATAACGCAATGTATTTATGATTAGTGTATGGATTGGAACTAATGCATATAACTCCTTTTTATTAGTGGTTCTAGGTCTGGACACATTCATCATCACGATGTCCGAGTGGCCAATCACCATGTGGCTACCTTGGCTGGCCATTCACAGGAGGTGTGTGGTCTGGAGTGGTCCCCTGATGGGAAATACCTAGCCAGCGGGGGCAACGATAACCTGGTGTATGTATGGCAAGGAGTGCAGGAGGGCACAACCCAGTCTGCACTGCACACCTTTAACCTTCACCGTGGAGCAGTCAAGGTGAGGAGTATGACATTTCTTGCACTCTAGGTCAGTGCATCAGCTCTGAGCCTTGAGGTCTTCCAAGCTGGGAAGTTTTAATGTGAACTGTCTTTGTCCTTAGGCAGTAGCCTGGTGCCCATGGCAGCCCACCACACTTGCCACAGGTGGTGGCACAAGTGACCAACACATACGCATATGGAATGTAAACTCAGGAGCTTGTTTTTTATACAAAGATGTACAATCACAGGTAGGAAATGGATCTTTGTGGAATACCTCATGGTGTTTTAGAGTAACACCAGTTGTGTACAAAACTGGGGTAATGTAGTGTGGAAAATGATTCCATAAAATTCTTGATGAAGACCAGAGCCTCGTTTTGAGAGCTGGCTGTGGAGGCTGGAGTTTAAAAATGGCCAATGTGTGCAGTTGACAGGTCCTGGAAGGTGAGCAGCAGCAGCAGTATTTCAAAGCCAGGATCTTGAATATCTTTGGCTACAAATGCATTTACCCCATTGTATAAGGGGGGGGGGGGGGGGGGGTTTCTAAGTGGGAGATTAACCGATATAAAGGCACTGTATCTAAAGCAATGTTCCAGGGTTCTTGGCCTAGCTTGTTACTGAATGTAAAGTGTTTTTTTTTTTTATATAAATTATCCAGGTCACATCCCTGGCATTTTCATCAAACTACAAGGAACTGATTTCTAGCCATGGAGATCCACTTGACAGCTTGATCATCTGGAAATATCCTGCTATGACTAAAGTCACAGAGCTTGCAGGTAAGTCTGAATTGGAAAGCTGCCTTAAAATGGGATTTTCCACAATGAAACTTCTGTACTTTTTTTTTTTTGCTCCTTGTTGCAAGATGGGAGGCTTTTGGGCCCGTTTAGTATCTAACTGATACAAAGACCCCTGGATTCTTTCAGAAGAGCCCGATATCAGCTTTAACAGCAGGCTAGCTTGTTCAAGACATCATACCTAACTTCTGTTGGGGGGGGGGAGGTCATTTGTGAATGCACTAAAGTTGATTGATGCGCTTTGTTTATAAGGTGCTTTAGGTTTTGCATCTTTACCAGGAACATGAATAAATTCTACTTGCCTTGGGTTTTTTTTTTAAAGTGGAGGGTACATTTTAATTTTTCTACAAGTAAAGTATATGCTACTTTTTTTGCCAATTTCCTGTTAAAGTGAGGTTGGGATGGCATGGCCAAATCATACCAGTATGATTCCTCTATAGTTCACTTACATTTTGGAAAGTACAGTTTCTGATCATACCCAACCAGGCACTATAATGTTGATGCTTAAACCGAGTGGTAATAAAGCATTTACCCTAGAACTTGACAGCAGGGGATTGGGATGGGTTTAATAGTGTAGTTGTGATCTAAACAGAGGCCGTTTATAAATAGAGTAAACAGATTCTCATGCTCTGTAAAACTGGTTCGTATGAAAGTCACTTCAAATATGACTGAAACCACAGTTGATAACCTTGTGCATGTAAAATACTCCATTTCTATTTTTCATCCTCCACGGAAAATGCATTTTGAGCTGGTCAGCACATGGTCACTCCTTGCAGGTTTGTACTGTATATAGTAGTAGAAAATCTTGTATATGATGGGGGGGGTTTAAAAGCCTATGAGTCTCCATGGTGATCCTCCAGCCCCATTGCTTCAGTGGTGAGCCTGCCGGTACTAAAGCAGCTTTGTTTCGAATCAGGACACCAGGGAAGAGTGCTAACGATGACGCTCAGTCCGGATGGCTCGACTGTGGCATCTATAGCAGCGGATGAAACGGTGCGCTTGTGGAAGTGTTTCGAATTGGATCCTTTGAAGAAAAAAGCCAAGGAGAGGACTGCCAAGTCAACCGGTAGCATAATTCACCATGGAATCCGATGAGCACTAATTCAGACTTGGGGTGGGGAAGATGGGTTATTACTGATGTTCAGTTTTAATGTCAATTAAAGAATTATGGTGGTACACCTGTATGATGATGGTAGCAGAGGGATTTTCACACCAGAAGGTGTCACTGTTATTAACATTTGCTGCTTTTACTTTGTCAACTTTTTATTGGAAATAAATCTTTTACTACACGTGTGTATTCTGTTCTGCAGTGGCACAATCCATTGTCTTCTCTTTTGAGAGCTTCTTGAATTGGCATGCAATCTTAAATTTTTTTTTTTAGGCAAGTCTTCAAAGAAACTCTTAAAGCAGTTAGTAAGTGGAATGTGTCAGTGGTTTTAAATTTGCACAACACCTTTCCCCCCTCCTGCTTTGTGAGCTGTGACCAGGAGCATTTTTCCCTTGTGAATTGTTCAGTCTTTAGCTAGTAGTAGTGTGAAGTACTTCAAGAAGGCTCCTGTCCTGGGAAAGTGAATTAACCTTGCTGTCTGGGGGATATTTTCTTAGTTCCCTGTGGTCTAATCTCTTGCCACTTGTGGTTTGTGTTTACGTTTTAAAACCTAATGCCTGCATCAGTGCCTCCATTTCTTGTAATAGCTAAAAGTCCTGATGTGCTTCTGATGCAACTAAGCTCAAAGGTCTCTGCACACTGATCTGTGCACCTTTATCATCTTTCAAAGATTGACTTTGCACTTGTTCACAGATCAGTGTACATTTGAGCTTTGTGGGTGAGGTTTCATATGTTGCCAGAAGTTCTAAAATGGTTGGTTTTGCCATCGCTATCAAGGGTTCACTATTTTATTACATGATAGCATCTTAAGCTGGTCTTGCCCACAGCCCTTGTGCAGAAGATGGGTTAAAACTTTGCTAAGAACTGCCACAGCATTTGATAGCCATCCCATGACTTCATGAGGCCCTTTTTAATGCTCTTGTATCTTTTATCTCCTGTGTTGCTATGTATCCTAAACTTTTTCAGTTGGATTTTTATCAGTCATTTGTCCTTTTTACATTTAAATTTTCTTGGGTAGTGTACAATATGGATGGGGTCACATGCATAAGTACATACGGAGTCTGCAGGGTTTTTTTCTTCATTCCAATTGGGTGCTTTAATGTACAGAGCCAATTACTCAAGACTTGTGCTATTGCAGACCAATGTAACAGGTGGAGGAGGGGCTTTCCAGGACCAGTGTGTAAAAAGGAAAGCTGCATTTCACTTGAAGATGAAATGTCAACATTGGGTGGTCAATGTAACATACTACATTAGATAGTACTGTATACCCTGCTATCCTGTATCCTTTTAATAAAGGACTTTTTAAGTAACTTGGTGAAAGAGCATAATGATTCAGTCTGAGCTCCAGAAACTGTATTAAATAGTTCCAGGAGTGGTTTTGAACATGTCATTTCTTCTACCTTTCATTGGACACTAGTGATGGGGAAGATGGTGGGTCTTTCTGTACTTGGTAGTTGCAATAGCGTTGTATCTGTTGTGAAGACCTATACTAATGCACTTTGAACAGAAAACTGTTAATACCAATGCATTTTCTACTAAGGTAGAATAAGTATGCTTAAGCATTCTCTCCAATTATGTTATAGATGTACCTGAACTTACCTATGGGTTTTGAGAAAATACTTTTATGGGAGGTGATTTTTAATGGATGGGTAATCTTAAACCTGATTTGCTGGCAGGCTGCTTGTTTATCACTTTCTGAGGGGCCACAGAAGAAAACTGTAGCTTCCTCTGAAATAAAACTTGTACAGAAGCCTTCATGTTTTGACTGGCCTATGCATCTGTAAAAAGTGTACAGATGGTTATTTTATTTCGATCAGTTGTATTTTAGTTAAATCAGTCAGGCAGCCAGGACTACAGCGTGGGGGGGAAGTGTTTCCACCACCTAAAAGGTTCCAAGCTTCCTCCTCTGTAATCTGTCCCCTCCCCCTGCACTTCCATTTTGCCCATAAAAACATTGTGTGTGGAAAATGTCTGTTTCACTAGCCCTCCAGCCACTCCTCCTCCAACCAGCTGAAAGAAAGGAATCCAAACTCAACTGCTAAAAATGCAACATGAAGCAAGGGTTTAGGAGTGGTCAAGTTGGAGAGCCCCAGCTTTTATTGAAACCACTTACATGGGAAGGAGCTGGGTTGTCTGGAAGAGGCCCCTAACCTGTACCTATCCATGAGCTACTCGAAGGACTGGGCGGTGAGGGTTAAACAGGGCTTCTCCCAGGACAGCTATTTCAGTCTAAGACTAAAAAAAGACTACTGGGGAAACAGCTTGCTACCCTGCACCAGCCTTCCTGTAGAAATTGTCCCAAGGAGGAAGGAATAGAGACCACAGCAAGGATTGTCACTGTTTCTAGACATGCAAGTTCTGAGCTGCCAAAACCAACAGCTAATAATAACCCTTTAAGTTAAGACAGCCAACTGAAGCACTCTTTTTTTACCCCCTCTGATGTGTGTTAAGCTTAATGGTACTGGCTGAACAAAGCAATATGTGACATTCCCAAGTGGAGTGAATTTGTAAAGGATATTGGGATAACGCATGTCCCAGACTATGATTATCTTTACATGCGTGTTGTTCTCTCACAAATGTTGCCCTATCCATAAATATTGTTGCAAACTGATTCTTTCACCTTTGTGGTCTTCACTCTTCCCTGCTGCTGAAATGATGATTCGGCCATTACAGTACGATTTCAGCTCCTCCCAACCCACTTTTTGTATATATTTTTTTTTTATTTTGTTTTGTTTGTCGTTTGGTCCTTGGAGCTACGCATCATTGAAAGACAAAGGACCTGACTAGATCGAGCTGGAAAAGGAAAAAGGGGGCATTTTCATCAAACTGTAGCTCTTGCCTGTTCCCTCCCCCCCACCTGCCTAAGGAAGGAAGTGCAACACTATAACAGTTAGGAATCATACAAACTTATAAATAGGATTCTTTCTTTTAAAAAACAAAATACAAAAAACAACCATTTCCCCCCAAATTTCGCTCCTTCTCTCTCCTAATGCTTTTATATCTCAATCCTACATAGATCCGCGACCACCTTTCCACCTGCCGAAAGGAAGCTAGGGGTCAAAACTGCCCGTGGGGGAGGCCACTGCGGCCTATTGTACCTCCGTGAAGCTTCTCCCGGGTCCCGGCTCGGCTGCCCTACAGCAAGCAAAAGGCGGCGATAGAACACCGGCCGAGGAGAGGGTTGGGGTGGCTGCCTGGGCCTTACTGGGAACAGCACGGCCCCGAGGTCTTCCGAAAACAAAAACGACGACGGACCATCCGCGCGGGGACAAAAGGGAGAGGGGGGCTAAACGGCCACAAGCCAGCCTGTGTTTTTCCACTGACCTTTTCAATTATTTTAATAGTGCCTGTCGTCTTTAATTGACAGAACAGCACGGGAATTTGTGTCTGAGACGCAAAGACCCCCATGGTTTTGGCCCTTGCAGGTTATTTACAATCGGCTTCACGTGTCCGAAGGGGAGCTGTACACCGCTGCGCTAGAGGAAGCCCGCTGTCTCTCAGGCTGCGGGGGCGGGGTGTCATGCCTGCCCTAAGGAGGAACGGGAGGAGGTGGGGGGTGCCCTGGTTGGCTAACACAGGCAGTTTTGACCCTGGGCTCGCTTGCAGGTAACATCGGTGAAGGCGACACGCGCGTGGGTGGTCTTCTTCTTCATACGTGGCTCGCCGCAAGCCGCCGCTGTCCGGAGACCAGACGAGGAAAAAAAACAACAAAAACAAAACGCCCCTTGAGTTCGTCGGCCATTTCATCTCCCACGTCTTGTGCGTAAAAAAAGTAATCTGGAAAAAATATTCATTTGATATAGATGTACTTTGGAATCCATGGCGCTTTTGTGTTTTTGTTCCGCCCCCCCCCCCGTTGTCCGTTAGACTTCCTTCATCTTGCCGTTGTGGGCTGTGCCGTTCTCCCGGTGCGCCACCCCGTTCTCCGCGTGCTTGCCGTTGGCCACCAGGGGCTCCACGCCGTTCTGCTTCTCCTTCTCCGCCTCCAGCACCTTGGGCAGCCTCTTGCCCTTCACGTAGGCCTGGTACCAGAAATTGGAGAAGAGGATGAAGAAGAAGGTGCCGTACATCCAGATGAGGTGGATGAAGAGGGGGACCTGGTAGTCGCACGTCTCCATGAAGTAGTACTGGCTGACGTGGAGGGACACCATGACGAACTGGACCTGAGGGGGGAAACAGGCCCAGGTTAGCCGAGCGGGAAACTCGTGCGCTAAGGAGTAGGTTTGTAATCAACAGCTGGCGTACCGAGAGAGGATGGGCATTGCATTTCAACAAAAGATCAAACGTAGACACTCGGGTACACCGTGACAGTCTTAATTTCTGTCTCGTGGTTCGACCTTTGTCCAGGAAGTGCATAAGCAAACGGATCATTTCTAACCCCCTGTGCAATGATCACCTGCACATCAGGTCTGCACACGAGATCACACAAAACACTTTTTGGCTGCAAAAGATCAAAAGCCTCACTTACGAATGCTGACATTCATTTCCATGTATTTATTCGGTGCTGTTTTTATGCATCACAATTTACATTTGTGCTCATTGATACTGGGTGGAGAACTGACTGGAGCAATTAGGGGCGCCTTGGTCTAGGGTACAACACAGCGTCTCAACTGCGATTTGAGCCCACCAGTTACAAGTCCCGAACCCTAACCATTGCCCCACGCTGCTGTCCCGTGAGTGCATTGACGTGCATGATGACATACTGGTTAACGGTCAGCTTCTTGTACAAAACAAGAAAAACAAGTTCCCATAAAAGTACTGCATACAGGGCCAACAGAGAAAAAAAAGGAAGTTATACTCACAAGTTGGATTGCTGTCATGTATTTTTTCCACCAGAGGTACTTCTGGAACCTGGGGCCAGCAGCAGACAGTCCATAGTAAAAGTACATGATGACGTGGACAACTGAGTTTACCATGGCGTGGAATGAACCCATTCCTCCTGCAGTAATTATGAAAAACATGCAAATAGTATAGTTCTCACATTCCGATGATACAATACCTGTCTGGCACTGGCTTGTTTCCATATCCCATGAGTCCCAGCTGGAAAAAGAGAATGAACCGCAGAACCATACAGAACAGACTTCGGTTTGGGCCCGGAATTTGAAAACTGAGCTTTTTTGTCGTTTTTGCTCACATGTTCCTTCTGTTGCCTGAATAGGAGCCTCGGTGTATTTCAATTCTTAATCTCTTTTGCCCCCCCAAAAAAACCATGAGAAAATGTGACTTTTAAATTCTGGAATTTCATCTCTATTGTACTTATGCACTGTAGGTTATAAAAGAAAAATCTTCAGATATCAGCTTTTAAAAACCAGGCCTCAAGAAAAACAGTCTGCCTTGTGTAGAAAGTCCATGTTAGTCAGGTTTCGAGGAACAGCTACCGAAAGGGTATACCATGAGCATCAAGTACTCGTGTCTAGTTATTCCTTTGAACACATCACTAAAATAGGAGCCTGCTCTATTCTGGCTAATCAGTTACATTCACAGTTTTTTTAACCTTTGACCTTTAAAGAATGTTAGAGACATTAAAAAGTGGCCAACACCCAGAGTCCCATGTCCGGCAGTAGTTTTACGAACTCCGATATAAACAGTGGTGGGTTTTGACCTCTGACCCCAGTTATGTGCAGATTGATATCGTGGGAGTGTCTGCCGTGTTTATTGGCAGAAACCCAAAACAATGGAGAGAAAACAAATCTGCAAGTATGAGAGGAAGCTGTATGAAAACCCACCCCTGTTTAGATCATCTCTATACTTACCCCGATTCTGAAAAAAAAAGTGGCACTCTAACTGCTTGTGAAGGAGTAGATATAAAAGGATTATTATGGCGTTAATATTTAAAAATGGAGGCGGAGAAGAAAACAGACAAAAAAAAAGTACGTAACTTTTTCAATTATATTTGGAGGATGGAAATGTGATGAAGTGTCAATGCAAACCAATCCTGTCGATACTACACAATGCGTTATCTGAATTGGGAACCAAAAGCGGTCATTATTCATCTATATTACTTGCTAACTACAATGACAACAGATCTCAGAATCTTAGCAAGCCTGGACCAGGTCAGTAAGAGTACTGAGAGACCTCTTAGCAAAAACAAAAAAGGGCGGCTGTAAGTGGCGTTGGTGGACCAGTAGGGGGAGGTGTTCCCTATGGAACACAATTTCCAAACCAATGCCTCAGGATGGTGCCGGGGGACACCGCTGAGAGAGCTGCTATCGTTTGATTAAGACATGAAACCGAGCCCCCTGCCTCTTTGGTCATTAAAATCGCGTGGCGCTGCTCATAAGGGTGGGGGTGTTAACCTCGGCGTCCTGGCCAAAATCTACTCTGGGCTTCGACAAGAAGTCCGCCCCTTCATTCAACGGTCTGCCACGGGCCCTTGGTGCAGAATGGGCGCCGTGTAACGGTGGATGAAGTGAGTGTCCTCCTCTGTGTGAGGAGGCCTTTAAAAACGCAAGGCATTAGTAGTAAAGGTAATTATTTATAACATAAAATACCTCCTACTCACTGGTAGCTATGCAAAATTTAACAATGAAATGCGGAGGCCTCATGATTAAATTAACGGAGGCAGAGCGCTGCCGGTGTTCAGGGTGACATGTGAGACCGCGTTTGCCCTTTGCAGCTGCTGTTTTGACTGAACACAGACAGTGCAGGGTGCTCATGCAGGCTGTGCTGCAGGAAGGCATCTGCAGGCTCAAGACGGACTTCAGGATGTGCGGGGTGACTCTGGGGAGATGCCTGCACGTACTGATTAACACACAATGGCGAAATACTTCATTAATTGCAGTTTGGTACAGTTTATGTTTGCTTTTTGCTGCAGACCAGATTCCCCCTTGAAACAGAGTTATATATCTATATAGTCTCTTTCCTTTTCGGCAGTCACTTGGAAATCATGCTACTAAAATAAAACACGGTAATCAAGCATCCGGAAGGCCAGATGCTTCTCAGAGGCTCCGAGAGGAGCAGACCAGCAGGGACCTAACACTTACCAGGCGCAATGGTGACGCCCCACCACCAGGTCCAGGGCATGACGGAGTGGTGGAAGATGTGGAGGAAGGTGATCTGGCTGTGCTTCTTCCTCAGGACGAAGAACACCTGTGCGGGTGCCACGGGAACGAGACCATCAGTCACCCCAAAGTCACACCAGCCCGGCACGGCCTAATGCCCAAACTGGGGGGATCCGGAAAGGCCCCGCTGGTGCCGAACTGCAGAACCGTCGGGCCTTTAGTTGGGTCCGCAGACCTCAAGCCCGGGTCAGGGTCACAGTCACGAGTCACCAAGGTAAGTCTCAGTCCTTCACGCGGTCCGCATTTTGACTCATTCAAATGGCATGTGTGTTAAAACAACACGCTTGCTACATTATGTACCACATTTTGACATTTTGTTGTTTAACGGTGGTGAAAGACACACTTTATGAAGATCCTGAAGTTCTGTAAAGTCACAGCTGCGTCTTTTCTGTAACCGGCCCGACTGAACCAAAAATTCTGGATGATTCCACTTTGAATCTGAGTACTGGATTGGGCTCCTACAAGCCTTAGACATGTCAAACTTTTAACAGTAACTGCACCTGTCCTCACCTCATCTTTGCAATGGTTTTGACATCCATGCAGATTTTGTCTGTGTCCAAAGCAGTCCCAACTGAATAAGCGTAAACTAGACCATTGTTTGCTTAAACAATAAGCTACAACTGTATGCAACACCCAGAGACATCCATATACTCTGCTCTCAGTTTGCTGGTTAATACATACTCTGTTGGGATGTGGATAATGAGAACCATGATGATCCAACTTCAGCGGCAGTTTCATTTTATCATACAAACAATGTAAAAGGACAAGATGGAAACATTAACATCACAGTAAAACGAAACAACATACCGTGTCCAGTAGCTCGATAAATTTAGAGAAAAAAAACAACCAGGCAACTCGAACCATCTGGAGCAAAAAAAGAAAAGGGAATCAGAAAAATGTCATGATGAAACTAAACAAGCAAACCACTGCAGGCATCGTTAGACAAGCAGATCATTTTTCCAACAGATTTGCTGTAGGTAAGGAAGCCAGACGCTGGCTGTCCATAGATGGGTTTTTATTTATTTCTCCACACCGATAAAAAAGCAGGCCTTTTTAGCAAAGGACCTTCTTCAGCCAGCTGCAGTTTCTTCAGCTGGTAGCCACTCATTTATCCTCAAATTATCCTGGTGCATCTATTCGCTTGTCAGCTGGTGCCACATTTCTCTGCAAAACATCTGCTATGTTTCAACGGCTCGTCATTGGGAGTTGCAGCCTGTGCCGAGACTCTAGGGGCCTCTTAACAGTTTAGACTTTGCTGGTGTGAAAGCCAAGCTCCAGCTCTGTAGACCCCATCACAGGACTCCTCTAACCCCCCATGGGGACTCTTCTTGATGGCGCACACTTGGTAAATTTGTCAACACAGCCCCCCCCCACTGTCGAGGGCGTAGAGATCAATAACCAAGACTCTCTACACTTACTCTGAGGGCTTCTGGGCTGTCTGAATAATCGCAGAGGTCACATCTCCAGGTGTAGGTGGTCGCCCATCCAGACATCAGAAACTGAAGAAGAGAAAGCACTGTAAGCGCCGATAAGCCAGGAAGTAAGACCTCCGGATTTTCAGGCGTCCGGTCATTTTTTTCTAACACTATCAGTGCCCCACAGAAACAAGTGTGCACGGTGTCACGGACTGTTACTGTAATCAGCCCAGCGATAACGCAACACAAAGAGCCTAAACTCTGTTTTCCAAAAAGAAAACATGTCTGGAAGGCTAATACGTGCTCCGTATTTCAACTGCTGAGTTTTGGCATTTCCTCTTGGCTCACACCGAGCAAAAGCCATTTCTTTCAATCTGGTAAACCTTCAAACCACCTGTGTCCTCTGGGGACAATCAGCAATCAGGTCTTTCCCTCTGAGCACTTCTGAAACATGTGTGGATCATTATTTACTCATTTTAATGGAGGAAAAACTGTGAATATTACCTAAGACAAAGACAATATAATGATATGGGGCAATCAATTATTTTTGGTGCATTCAGAATATAAAGAAATACATTTTTTTTACTTTTAATAATATGATTTATGCTTTATAATATAACTAAACTAAATTCACTGTTTTAAAATGTAATCATTTTTTCTCGTAAAAAATTAAGTGTCACATTTTCTCTGTATGTTTTTGCTTTGGTCTCATTTAAACCTGGCTTACTGCCAATGCGTTCAAACAACTGCTGGAGCGTATTTGTACAAGTATAATTGCAATGGTATCAGCTAAGGTATTAGAGTACGTTTACCAGATGCCCTTAACAGCCGAAGTGGGATTTGTGGATTTACATTATGCTGGGGGATGAGAGCATTTCGAGCTGGGGAAGAAGAAAATCTGAGTACTGCTATGGGCAATAACTGCAGCAACGCATTTGATTGTTTCCGACACTTCTGTCCTGGCAAGCAGTTGCTAAATTAACTCTTGAGGGCTGGAAACTATTTGGCTTTTGAAAATGAAATAATAATGCAGCCGAAAGCCGCGGTATACTTTAGCATTAATGCCTTGCCATGTGGTACTGCTGTAGGCTGTGGTACTGTAATAAGTGAAGGGAAGGACTTTTTGTCCACCACTCCCTTTATGAAATGCGTCTCTGCTTGCCACTCTGGTGTAACTGTGATACAGCTGTTGTGCAAGATCTTGCACACGGCCAGAGTGAGTTTTCAGTCGCTCAGTATGTGACCAAGAACACCATGACACGAAACAGAAATATTTTTTTCACGTGACGCGCTCCAGTATTTTTCACTCATCCTTCACGGGCACACCGACTGTTGGAGTGCTCAACATGCTTATTCATTTAAAAATGTGTGAAAGAAATGTGGCGCATTTAGCAAATCTTGCTCAAGTACCTTTCAGGCTTTACAAGCCACTATCATACAGCTTCCTGAAAATGCTGAACTGGGTGTACTAAATACCAAACGGACCCAATTCACGTATTCATTTCATGGCTGAATGATTAAATGTGAATTATGCTGCAGTGTCCCTTGCCAGGTTAATGTAGAACTGGCAGGCCAAAATGCCCCAACACTCAACAATCAAGAAATGCTTCTGATGGATTCGAGACTAATCTTTTATTTTTTAAGTGGAAAAGTGAAACAGGAATAACGCCAGGAGGTTTATAATGAATCAGGTTTATGCTTCTCTCGTCTGCCTCGCTGGCATGTACTCAAATAAAAGGAAAATAAATTCCTCTCCTTGCATGGAAATGTGGTGACTAAGGCTCGACCGAGGCTCAGGGGAGCAAGAGAAGCCGGGAGGACAGAAGACCACAGCGCACATCCGGACGCTAACACTCGCACTGCAGGTGCTGGTCCCGAGCTGTCCGAAGGAACAACATGCAATTCTGCTAAATAAGCAGTAGGAAACGTTGATACACTTTAAGGAACTCAACACAGGGAGCACCGGTGTGTAGCTCAGCGGAGAAGCTGCAGGTTCAGAAAGGGGACACGGTACATGGATAACAGGGACAGACAGGTGAGTGCAGAAGAGCAGCTGTTGGATTCCTCTTGGGCCTCACCTCATAGACGATGTAGGAGGACAGGGCGACCATCGAGAAGTTATAGATGATCATGGGCCACTTGAGCTGAAATGGTTTCCTCTTGGCCATGAGGCGGGGTCCCACGTATAGGACAAAGAGCACGTAGGCCATCAGGATGAGAGTCATCGGGACGGCGCCCTGCATCAGGGGGTAGCTCTTCACCCGGGAATCTGAGGACAGAGCACAGCCTGTCGTCAGCCGCGCCTGGCACTCAGTCACAGGCCAGGAGCGAGCAGGCACCCTGACCAGCGCAGCGGAGCCTCCAGAGAAACACAGCTCACGAGCCACACTGATACATCAATAATAATAGAAATGCCTTCCAATACAGAAGGGTCTTATTGTATTAAAAACAAGACATTTAATTATAAAATATCTAATATTAAATTAAATATTACAACATTGTAGTACACTACAAGCTTTAACTAAAATAAAGTAACTATAATCTGTGACTACTCTTTATGTATAACAGTGCAGGGCTATAGGGAATAAGGCTCAATGGCAGAAAGCACTGCCAGGGGTAAGTGGAAAAGTCAAGACCCATCAACCCCTCCATTCTTGACTGCTGCTACAGGCCTACATCAACACGTACAGGTTTAAAAAGGAAGAAGAAAACAATCCTTCAGTTATGGAGTCGTCTTCAGCTCAGAAGTGATCAAGTAATGCTTATACAGTATTACAGAATCCCAGACTGTACCACACTTTGAAAGACACTGGACCCTGAAGAGAGCTCATACCGGTTGTCTTCAAGAAGTCATGGTACATTTCAATGGCTTTGGTTCCCAGTTCTATTAGCATCCTGACTTCTGTTTTCGGTCTTTCCTAAGGGACTGTCAAAATCAAGGACCTGTGGAGAACAAACAAACCGCATGGTTAGGTTCCCAGACGTGAGAGTAGTTTAACACGGCATAAGCTATTCGCTATTCAACATCTTGTGTACGAAACCCAGCTCGTGCTGTGAGCAAGAAACAACCTGTGATCAGGTGAGTCTTAGGAAGAAACAGAAGCTCAGTGGAAAAGACTTTTTGTTAAAATGCGGATAGCTTTCAAATCAATGACGAGCTAAGCTTTGTGGCTGAGAACCGGACAATCGGGGCATCCCTACTAGTCACAGATAAGGCAGCGAAGGGACGCAGCAGGAGAAAGATTCATTCAGGGAGACACAGTGTGACACATGGTTTACATGGTTTCACTGGTGGAAGCTACTAAACTGTCCTTCCCGAGATCACGCCACCGCCACTCTTTCAGATACTGTAATATCTCATGTGTGTAAGCTGATCCGCGAAAAACTACAAAACAAAACTCCACGCGTGATTCCATCTCGAAGCGGTTCTTTAAAAAAGAATTAAAAAAGCGAAAGGCGCTTCATTTACTGGAAGAAAAACATGACCCCCCCGCCCTTATAAAATTATGTTTGTGGCTCCTCCAATTAATAAGCAGAGACCGAATGTTTAACTGAAGACAGGCAATTTGTTTATTTCAGATTTATGTCCCAGCCAGGCACACTCACGCTGATGAGTGTGATGGATTAACTTTCTACACGAATACCCACAGCCTGCTGACATAAGGCTTTTGAAAACCTACTAGACACACTGGCCTGTTGGAAATGATATTTTATTTTTTAAATTGGGTACAAAGTCCCTTTTCCAATCAGGCGACAGGCGATGCCAGTGTTGTGTAGCTGCCTGTTTGCTAAAACAGCCAGCTGTCGGACTCCGATGCTGTGATGTGCTGTGGATAAGAAACAGTGAAAAGCATCTGAAAAGGAAATACAGACAGGCGACACTACTCAAGGGAGAGTAGAGACAGAAACCCGCTTACTTTTTTGAATTGCCCCTTTGAGGGCAGGAGGAGGAGGGAAGAAATGTTTTTTTGAATATAAAAAGGTGGATTTCTCTGTAGAAGCTACCTGTATTGAAACCTGTCACGGGCTCTGAAGCACAAGAGCGCAAAAGAAAGAGCAGCGCCCTCATTATCTTGGAAATAAAGATAATGAACAGACTAATTACAGATAACTTATCCAGTTCCAGCACTTCATCTCCCTGTCCCCATAAAAAAAAACAACAAATCTTATCAGGCCAAACAGCCTGCAGCTGAGCAGAGCAGAGACCCTGCTTGTGCTTGAGGAAACGGGAGCAGGAATTCACCGTGACACTCCAGAGTGTCGGAGGAGACTTCCAAGGGACAACCCCCTCCGCTCCCAGCCCACACAAACACACCCGGCCAGGAGCGCCATGCTAGTGCTGGCAGAGCACGCAGTGCCAGTCAGCAGGCGGAGCGAACCGGAGCCTGGAGCCGCCAAGGATGAGGTCAGTGGGTTCGGCTTTGGCAGGGTGTGATTCCACAGGCAGGCGGGTCTGCGCTGGGAGCTGGGAGCTGGGAGCAGCAGTGCAGGAGGCTCTGTTACAGAGGGCCTGCTCTGGGCATGACTCAGGAAATCAGCACACGGGACCAGAGTGCAGTGCTCCCATATGCTTCTTCATCAGCTTACAACTGCTATTTGTGGTCTGGCATGAGTCTGGTGGGACGCCATCTCAGAGCCCCCAGAAGAAGATGACGTCTGAGGTCTTGTACTGTATCTGGTAGGAAACCAGCCTTGGTGTGTCTTACAGTTGGCTCTTGGGCCGGGCTGTTCTTAACTGACCCCTGAGGACAAGGCCTGACACTGGAGAGCAATGGGACAGGAAGATAACCTGCAGATCTGGACTGACTACCTGGCACCAGTGGGGAGGAAAAAAAAAACAACCTTCCAGCTTGTGTCCACTTTGGAACTGAGAATGGAAATAATTAATGGGTCCTTAAATGACCTATGAACTTCCAAGCTAAATATTCCGACTTTCTTTTAACCCTTTATGGCTGGAAATGTTGTTGTAGTGTATAAACAAAAGGTGGGCTCATCCATTGTTGGGACCCTGCCTTTGGTAGATAAATAGGTTGGAAAAACGTTTTATTGTTGTACAACAATATTGGCGGCCAGAACTAGTTTGGTATTCAAACAGATCTCTCTGCACCTGTGTTGAATGTATTCAAGTCTCTTTTAAGAATGAATGTATTGCCCTCTTCAATGATTCAGGAAAAGTGTCTCAAGTTTAATTAAATAAACCATTAATGTTATGTCATGTGTGGTGCAGAGTGTGCACATGAATATGGCCGAGATTCAATTTTACAAGTGGCAAGATGAAATGTGACCAGTCTGCCTCAACTCTGCAATGTGCCAGAAATCATCACAAGCTAGCAGTCCCACCAGGAAAGAAGTTCAGATTCAGAGTTCATAGACTTTCTCTACTGGTAGGACTTTCAAGTCTCAACGGGCTATAAAATACTCAATCACCGTCCGGTAACTACATCTTTTCTTTCTCAGTAACACATTCCCTCTGTAAGAAAGAGCCAAAATGAATGGATGGGGAAATCTAACCAGGGTATGTCTATCTCCCAGGCATGATGATATTTTCCCAATCCAAAAAACACAATGAAACACATCCATGTGGAAGATGTGCATGTGCTAGCCCCAAAGCATATTAATTAGTTTATAAGTATTTGAACAGCTGTCTAAATTGACAGGCCGGAAAAACACATAATCAAACAATTAGAGCTACGCGCTGCAGTTCGTGAAATATAGTATAGCTGCTTTGTAGATAAGCTGGCATTAGGGAGAGCAACGAGGTCAGTACCTATTATGACAGCACAGCATAGACAGGTGACATGTGCCCTAACCACAATTACCCTAATTATATAGCAATTTGATAAACGTTATTCCAATCCCAAGACAATGGGAAAAGTGGCCGTTTTTCCAATCTACCAACTAAAAGCCACGCACTGTTCAGAAGCCCATTGTTCAGACTCTCCCACGTACCCCAGCCCCAGTGTCATAACTCAAAGACAAGCCCAAACAACCACGTTTGTAGAATGGAGACCAAGACGAATTGTTTTTCTCTGTTTTGACAACAGCTCTGTCCTATTCTCTCGTGCTGCCAGCTGTTAAAGACTCCCATTGTGTGCAGAGCATTAAGCTAACGGGGGGAGGGCGGGGGATATGTCTGTACAGAGTCAGGCGAGGATCTAACACGGACTCTGTCACATTCAGACCCTGCTGTCGGCGCCACACAGCTGCAGCTCTGACCTGCAAACTCACAGCAGAAAACGTCTGACATGTGGATCCTTCCACTTCCTCTTCCCCTGTACGGAACCGGAGCCAATACCACAGTTACAGCACCTCCTTACCCAAGCATCAGCATACTGCGAGGAGGTGTGTCACTGGAACAGACACGCACATTGTTGCATTATGTAGGACAAAGGTGACAGTGAGGCCAGGATCTTTAAAGCTGTAGCTAGACAGCAGCATCGGGACCTTATTGAGAGCGTGTTTCTGCCTTTTCTTGGAGTGCTAGCCTCCCATTTCTCTCCGGAGGAAACCTGCAGAGCTATCCTGTCACTTCCCAGAAAACTGTCCCCCCCCACAGCCGGGACGCATGCCGCCCTCTCCCTTCCTGCACGGGGGGCCTGCACGGACCTGCGGAGACCGGCAGCGGCGCTCAGGAACGGGCGGGGAAGGGGGAGGGGGCCGTTACCAAACCGTCGGCCTTAAACGGGTCGATCTGGAAAACAAGAAATGAGCGTACCCCTCCAATTCGCAGAGAACCCCCCCCCGAAGAAACAAAAACGAATACGGATGGGTCTGTTGCTGAAGCTGCGGTTTTGAAACAAGGTGGTTTTCCAGCCTGGAGAGCCCGACCGGATCTGGGTTCATCCCCAACCAGGCCTGAGGGCCCGATTTCAGAAATATCCCCTGTGCAATGTGTGGGGGTTATAATACAGATCCAATGCGTTTGCAATGATCACTTCTCTACACCCATCAGTGGGGGTAATGGATTGTAACCAGAGCCACGCTCAGACTCGGAGCACCGCTGGGGATGCACCTTGCACGCCAGAATCGCATTTGCCGCAACACGTTAAAACGCATCGCAAAGCTTCGGCTCAACCTTACTGCAACATCTCGCATCCTCTAAAATGTCCGTCTGATCTCTTCTTTACCTGATTGAGGTGATAGTCAAATTATTCAATATTCCCATGCACTTTCTATTGGGGGCGTTTTTAGTTTCCTTCTGTGACACACACTGCAATAAACCTTGATTGCTTACAAGCCGGTGTCTTCTCCACCCTGCTTGGCCCAGGTATGGGGTATTTGATCCCTTGTTGGTTGCAAGCCTCTTCATTATTGAGGCCAGAAATTGCCTAAAAACGGAATGATGCCAGAACGCTCGCTCTGACAGCAGGGAAATGTACAGCGAGCACAGAAAGAATTGTCAGCTCCACAGCAGCTGAAATATATGACCTAATTTCAGCAGTGCTATAAATCCAGACACTGAATCAAATGTTTTATTAATACAGATGGATTGAGAAGTATGGAGGGAAGAGTTCCATACAGCAGGGATGCGTGTATAAACGCTGACTCTGTTAGTGCTCATTACTCCAGACCTCCTTGCGTCTTGTGATCCAGCGTGTCCCTGCAGTCTAGAAACTTTCTTTAAGGGCCACACCCCTGCCTGGAAACCTGCAAGCTGAATGTCTCCATCTTTTTCAGTCGATCTGAATGGAACAAGACCAAACAGGGTCTACGACACGCTCACGTCAGAGCAAAAGCAACGTTTGGCTCCCTGCTGTTGTGCTGCCACCCTCTCCTGGTTTGGAGAGGTCAGGTCCAACCGGCGCTTGAAAAAGAAGAGGACAAAGTGATACCGAGAAGTCTTGCAGTTTCTCCCTCTCCTTCTCAGAATCCTGATCAGAATCACACTGCAGGGCCCAGGTGCTGATATCAGCCTGTATCGCCGATTAAGGTCAGCTATGCCACACTGATAAGTCCTAATAAGGGCAAAACAACTGTATGGGGCTGCTTACTTTGAATTACATATGCAAAAGGGCAGAACGTTGCTTGCAGCATTGTGCTTGGACAGAGTGTTAAGTATTATTCCTAGCCAGGATTCATTTAATCGAAAAATGCATGCTGCGTTTCTACATAAGCAGCACAATTTACAGTTTACACAAGAAAGATGTATAATGAAATACAAAAAAAGTATGACAAGAGAATCATAGTCATAGCTTTAAAAGTAGGCAGTGTTACTCAGTAATGTTCTTTTATCATTGAAAAAAAGTTTTAAAAAGAGCATGACTAGGAATTGGTGCTGTACCACTACAGAACTAATGAATCCATTCAAAAATACTCCTGAAGAGATGGTCACATACATAACAAGCAGAAACTCTTTTGTCCCTTGTATTTTACAGTTTACATACAGTATCACTTGTGCTAACACAGCCAATTAGGAACACTGCAAGCCAGAGAGCTGTCTCATGGTCCTTCAGAGCCATTCAAAACTCAAACCAGATCTTCACTCTTTTCAGGACTCCTGGATAAAAAGCTACTAATGATCACTTACCACTTCAGTACCAGGTAAAAATAATACATTGTAAGGGTACAATTTATGACCTATCACAGGGTCAACCTTAAACAACAAGGAGTGGCCTGAAGGCATGGAGTACTTAAGACATGTGAGGCCCACATGCAGAGCTTTGCAAAACAAGGTCATGAATACTGTTTGGTACCACACCTTTCTAGTGCAGTTATAAAGACCCCGATATTAAATTTCCAGGTGCTGCAGAAAGTAAACCATTCTGAAATACCCAAAACAAAAGATACAGTATGTGGAGACAGTACACTGTTCTGAAAACGGAACAAAACACTGTCTACATCTGAAATATTTATCCTCGGCTTTTTGAAGATTACAATAAACATAACGGCGGTCTACGAAGAAAATGGAAAATGCTTCAAATTTCCAAAACCGGCACATGCAGTCTGGCTCCACGCCACAAAGGAGGAGTGTATACAGTATTACTCACACAAAATCCTTTCTTGCAAAAATGTGAGTTCACACACCCTGATAGAGTCCAAAGCCGGCTAGTTGCTAAACAGGAATGAGAGAAGGAGATGGAATGGCCTTTGATACAACTTTGGGTACAATTCCTCAGTACAGAAAACTCTTCCAAGGGTCCCAACTGTAAACAAGTGATGCTACACGCTATGTCCAATTTACTCTGGAACAACAATAGGCAGTTATTTTTTTTTTAAAGTGTTGTACTTGGGCACACAGTTTGGAAAGTACTTTCAGTTTTTGACTCGCATTCATCCCACTGAAGTTTGCTCGAAGTGCAGAGCAGCGGCCAGGCCCCTCTGCGCTGTACAGAGCACGTTTCTGATCTCTCATCAGGGGCTGTCTGCAATTACTGGTCCCGCTCCTGGCTCATGGGGCCTCACACCCACCAGCTTAGATTAGAGGTATCTGGGAGCCTTGTTTTAAATTCCTGGCCGTGCGGTCTAAACACCATTCACCGATTCGTCTGTAGCGTAAGCAGCATTCAGTGCAAGACAGGCCAGAGTGCTGTATGAAATTAAACACATACGCCCCTTAATGCAGTGTTGCACAAGCAGATTAACGAACGACGATTCTCCCCGGTCGCAGGCAACAGATATTTCGTATCCCTGCGCCGCACGTGTCTAATGCTGCCTACCGATTACAAGCTTTTTCTCAACAGATACGAGTTTCCTGTTCCCTCTTTAGTCTGCTACCACCATCCCACATTACAGGCCTGACAGCTTGCAACACTGCAGAGAAAGTGGGGAGAAGGAACTGACTGGGCCCCACTAGCACAGCGATGAAGGACTCAAGATGCACTACTAAATTATTAAACCCCCCCCACCACCACCTCCATACACTAAATTACACAGTTCTTGTGAAATTTCTCATTTACTCCAGTGCTGTTTAAAACATTAAAAAAACAATGTAACAAATGAATCCTTTTTATGAGTCAATAGGTGCAGTAATTTACAACATACATGTACAGTGCTAAGGACAGCTATAACAGTAGCTCTGTAGCCTGGCTCAGGTTGAGTTATAATAAAGCATCATGCTTTTACACAGACGTGAAATAAATCAGGAGACTGCATCACATGGCCTCTCAAGAGTGTAGTGAAATCTGAACAGGAACAGGGTATACCCCCATGCCATTGATAACCTTGAATTGGTAGTTACAGGGACCTGCTTTAAATCTGAAGACCAGGCTGCATGCCAGTAGGCATACAAGTACATGCTTTTTTAAAGATTAAACTTAAGGAACTCCTAGCCTCACCACCACAATTTTTGGCAAAAAAAATCCTAATTCCCACTAATGTGGCTTAAAAACTACAAAACATGAGCACGTGGGAAATACAACCCAGAGTTTGGACCCAATAGCTTTTACAAGTTACAAGTAAGGAATTTGTAAATGGAATGGGAGAGGGTGGTTGAGAGAGGAACAGAAGAGAAAAGTCCATAGGTGAGCTCACAGCCTGACTGTGTCAACGCATCAGGGGGTCAGGGTTAATAATGAACGGACCAGAATACGAATCTGCTGGGAAACACTCATCAGCTGCCCAGAAACTCATGACCGCAGCAGGCAGAGAAATCACAGCCAGGGGGAAGGAGAGCCCACAGTAGTAGGGAAGTAGAAAAGAACCGAGAGGATAAAAAGTACAAAACTGTAAACATTTCTGAAAGCTCAGTCTCAGTTACCACCTCAAACGCTGGCTCTGAGATTTCAGAGGTCTGAAATGGAAAATAACTGGCACTTCATGCACAAGCTCCATAATATATGCCAGATTCACTACAAAGGCTACAAAACAGAACACCGAAAAAAAGCACCGACCACACTGTGCTGGTTCAACAAGTCTAACATCAGAAAAACAGCCCCCAACTCTTGCGCAGTGCTGCCTACAAAGTTGCCTTTCTGTATTAAACATTCAGTTCAAAGGCCTAAATTTCAGTTAAGCTCATAGTTAAAGAAAGTAACAGGTAGACAACACGACAATAAAAGCATTCCTAAACGTAGAGGGGAAGAGAATTAAACTAGTTTAAAGTTTGAACAGAGAAAGGGTAAGTCAAGCAGGCATCTCTCGCCGTCTGGTAAAAGTTTCCCCATCCGAAACTCACCTGTTTCTTGACTCGTTGCGCTCCGTACAGCTGGGCAAGGCCAAGCGTGTGTGGGGACCGGACTGACCTCCAAGTCACGGCTCGCTGGAGGCAAGCTGGAAAGGACGGGGAGAGAGGAAAACGAGGGAGAGAGGGAGAAAGAGAGCGAGAAAAGCGAGAGAGAAACAAACTGACAAAGTGCGACTGGTACTGCAGCCCTCTGTGTCCCCACCCTCCCTGAGTCACACAGGCTGGATGAATAACCGGCTCAGAAATACAGAGAGAGAGAGAGAAAGCAGGCCTACAAGGAAACACACCCTCCTCAGTTTAAACATGCACACGCTGGGGAGCAGAGGAAAAAAAAAAGTTACAGTGTCCGCCCAGCCTCTCTCTCGCTCGCTCTCGGCACTTGAGGGCTCCGATTCCTCCCCTTTCCCCTCCCCCTGTCTAACCACTGGCTCTGTCTGTGGAAGGTGAGCATGGTAGAGACGCAGAGCTTTCCGATTGTAGTCCTCGGGCCCCGCTCGCGAGAAATCCCAGGCAGCTGTGGTAGGATGAAGCTCTCACTGTACAGCTAAGTGCTCTGAAAGGATAGACGAACAGGCCTCTCTTGGCACCCACAATGGCAAACGGTAACATCTACTGCCCCAGGACAGGGTAATCAGAAATAAGCAAACTGGATTCCAGCAGCACTATTTTTAATGGCTGCTCTTCTTCTGACACAATCTGTAGTAATGAATTAGGCAGCAGTATTTTCCACAATAACCATGACTCAGGCAGCGAACCCCAGGGGAACCCCTGTTTTAAATGAATGCTTCTCGCAGACAGCTCTCTAGGGAGTTGAGCTGTCTGTTTTTACCCCCGTCAGACTAAAAGGCAAGCATGCCCAAGGAACCAGCATCCGGGATTCGATGAACACGGCCACCGCATGCATCTAGAAGAGTTCGAGACTCCCTCGTGCGAAGAGCTTGCAGCAAACGCCAATCTCCCCCATCTCACACTTACACAACCCCTGTGAGCTAAGGGAGAAGCAATAGCATCGCGCAAGAGCAGAGTCATGCTTTTCCTGGTGAGCATGGGCTGGCCGCACTAGTAGAGCACCCTGGAGTGAAGACCTACCTCGCCCGGAGTGACTGCTGAGCAGCGTCGTCGAGCACAGCCGACATTTCTAAATACACAAAGTTCAAATTTAAACATGCCTTGACAGTAGAAATCAATGCTGTCAATTTTATTCTTTTTTTACCCATTTTGATAGTTTCATGAAGCCTCTGAAATATTATAGTCACACTGATTGGTAATGTGAATTGGACAAGGCTCAACATAGCAGCAGAAGTCTAACCTGTCGGAAGGTTGTGAGAATACTTTCGCCAAAATCTTCCCTCCCCTGGGAAGCTCAGGCTTGGTTGCTGTCCTACTGTAAAGTCCTTTTGCTTTATAAAGCCCGCATACCTCATTCTTTACAAAGTTAAGAACCGCAAACCTCAATGACCGCATGAAAAATCTTTACTGGCCATCTCAGTCTCCAGCAAAAAGATGACCAGATGAGCTGAAGAAAATAGTGCAACCCAGATGTACAGAGAGGTTCCACATGGAGGAGTGGTGAAATATCCAGCAGATGAGGCTCTGAAACCTATTAAAAGGCTACAGGAAACGCCAATTAAGGGTCAGCAAAGCCAAAGTGAGTGCTCTCGAATTAGTGCATGCTGAGGTTTCAATAAATTTGACCGTCGTGCATGTGGAGATACCCATAACGATTTGCAACCGATATTGTCTGTTCACACAATATTTTAAAATTCTGTGGTTTATTTGCATCACAGAAATACCGAACGCACACCAGGGTTATCACGCTCGGGTGAAAGCCACCATTCATGAAAAGCATGAATGAATTCGGAGGCACCTGGAAATATCCACGACTCCTCCCCCTGGAGCTTACTCCCTTACCCCCTGGGCCTGGCACGTCTCTGGAGCCCCGCCAGATCAGAGGCTGGGCCCAGTCCTGCAAAGCCCTTTGTGGACTGGAACCACAGGAACGTGCTGCTCTCGCATACGAGCAAGAAGGGGGACAGCACAGCAACAGCTCGACTGTCCCTCGCTCCCTGGCCTCCCTCCTCCCCAGTTCAACTGAACACGAACGTGTTTACTTGAACAGTTAATTGCATTAAAAAAAAGAAAAATTACGTAACACCAGATCTGTTTGTGTGACAAAAATAGCTGAAATGCCAGAACAGTCTATTCCACAGCCGCGGGGCCGCTGAATGCCGGCGTGCTGCTGGAGCTGGTTTGCTGGTTTCACCACAACCCAGCTGGTCTGGTCCAACCCGTTTCCCTGGCTGAGCGAGAGGGGGGGGGGGACGGACCCTCGTCCAGGGAAGTGCCAGCGGGGTGAGAATGACAGAAAATGACGAATGCGTCAAGAATCAGCACAAAAACAGGTGCGCAGAGAGGCTCCTTCTAAATCCCCAGTGGTTTCCTCACTTACCCAGCAGGTTTTTGTTCTTGGTGTCAAGGGGCCTGCGCCCGCTGGCTGTGACCCGCTCGGGGGGACAGCAGCAGGTGTGGGAGCTGGGCCGGGGCGGTACACCTATCAAACGGTAACACAAGCGCCCCGCGGTGAGTCCAGTGGGGGGACAGAAGCCTCCCATGGAGCAGAAGCGCAAATACCGGGTAGAAACACAGGCCGTGAAAGCCTGCCCTCTCTTTCTTTCGGGGGACTCAAGCAGAGGATGTGAGAAAAAACGGCCACAGGCATCGCACGTGGCTAGTGGCGGCCGAGGTTGTGAGAATACTTTCGCCAAAATCTTCCCTCCCTTGGGAAGCTCAGGCTTGGTTGCTGTCCTACTGTAAAGTCCTTTTGCTTTATAAAGCCCGCATACCTCATTTTTTACAAAGTTAAGAACCGCAAACCTCAATGGCCGCATGAAAAATCTTGACTGGCCATCTCAGTCTCCGGCAAAAAGATGACCAGATGAGCTGAAGAAAATAGTGCAACCTAGATGTACAGAGAGGTTCCGCATGGAGGAGTGGTGAAATATCCAGCAGATGAGGCTCTGAAACCTATTAAAAGGCTACAGGAAACGCCACCTAAGGGTCAGCAAAGCCAAAACGAAAGAGCTGTCGCTACGCCAAAACTGCATTTCCAACAGTCGCCAAGTAGGAAGAATGATTTAAATTCATAGCGGATTGTTTTATGCGCTTGGACCGTGGGATCTTCACACACCCACAAGAAAAGAAATAGCCCATTTTCTCTTCCAAGTGACTCGGATTCCACAGATGTGACTTTCGACTCGCGCTCCAAGGGGAAAATATTTTCCAAGAGGCTTCCCAGCAGCGCGGGGGCTGTTTTGCGAGTAATGGGTTAATGGAGCCTCGGCTAAAAAAGGCCCTTTCACACTTGGCTGGCTGTCCGGGAAGGGCTTCGGCTCGAGCCGTTCACAGACAGAACGGCCAGGCTCTCCCGGCCTCTGGCCTTGTCGCCAGCTGCCTGAGTGACAAGAGAGTTCAGAACACTGCCTTGTCCCCCGTATATCTGTATATCTGACCCGCGCGTGCTTTCATTTCAGCGCCAACTCCACCGGACAAAGGTCCCTGCCGTTTCAGTCGTCTCCTGGCAACAGTGGACGCAGGAGGCCGGCATCGTCTACCTATTGAGCTGGAAGACAGGGGCCTGACAGCGCAGCTTCCTGGAACGCAGCCCGAGGCCTCGCAGGGCATCGCCCAGGGTGGCGACAGGAAAGGTGGCGCCACTGCTTCAACGAGCAGGCTCGCGAACGAGTTAGGCACCAGCAACCATGTCTGAAGATACACAGCTTCAGAGAGTAAAAGCACAAACACTGCCTACACTTCTGCCTCAAGAGTTCATCATGGAATAAACACAAATTGATTTTGTGCATGGAAAACCATCGCTTTGAGTTACGTCCATCCATCTTCTGACCGATTTTTCCAATACAGGGATGCCGGGAACCGGAGCCTATCCTGGCAAGCAATGGGCACGAGGACTTGTGTTACACACACTCCTTAATACACCCAGCAGATAGATAAAAGATTTGTATCTATTATGCCGTCTGTGGAAAGAATCACATGGTAGCTCCCTTTCTATGGAAGCTAAAACAATAGATCACGTTTCTGATGAAGGAATGCTTCACACCCTCAGCAATCACTGGGATGAAAAATGTACTAGACAGAGAGATGCCACTCTGTGCAGTGCCTACACTCAAGGCGTTTAATGGTCGCCGATGGTCTGAGAAATGAAGAATGTATCACCGCTGTGATAAAACAGGTTGGATTGAAGAGCAGTACTATAGCCCCCACATGTGAAAGGGGGTGTATCCTATCTCCTATCACCTTTCTTATCTTAGGAAACTGCCATGTGGTGGAACACGACTGTCAACCCCTGTGTCTATAATTGGGGCCGAAAACATTTTTAATGGCGGTCTGGATCATGCTTCTGACGAAGGCCACAGAGAAAGCGGTCGCCACCAGCCTGAGCTTCCCTCGCTCGCTGCTGGAACGCGACGAGCTCCTGCCGGGCACCGAACACGAGACGGACTGGAACGGACAAAAATCTAGCTCCTGCGTTGGCTGGGAGCCAGTCGATCCGAGCATCTCATCCAGCCTTTTTTCTTGACAGGTTTCAGGGAGGCCGTGGCTGGGCTGCTATCTTCAGGCTCCCCAGGTCCTCGATCCAACAGGTCTGGGGAGCCTCCACATCCGCTCGCTATAGCTACCGCGTTCCCTTCTCTGTACCCGCTGATGTTTATCACCCTACTGATTTATCCGAGCTCGCGTCAGGAAAAGCAAAACGAGGCAGCACGCAATCTGAATTTTTCTAACCCCTAGCTGGAATGCCTCCGTGGAGATCGCCTGATCTCCGGAGAATTTCAGCTCCAGGGGTACCTCTGCTCTTCGAGGTCAAGCCTGTTCACACGAGACCCCCTGCTCAACCAGGAGGGCAAGAAGACGGTCAGGCCCCGGGCGAGGAGGGCATGGGAAGATTCCAGTGGAGAAACTCGCCCGACGAGCCTGGCTACTCACAGCACTCACTCACATGGCAGGTGCTTGCTCAACTTAGAATAAGGGAGGAGGAGGGTGGTGGCAGCAGATTACACAATTTCTACCATGACACCGCAGAGGGCAATTCTGTATCCAGCACAAGCTGTATTCAGGCAAGCTGACTGCAGAGCATCTGAAGGGTTGAATGTCTGAATTCCACGCTGCTCATTTTTTAAACAGCCTAATCTGATTTAAAATGATCAAACTGATCATAAGGAAACCTAAGCACTTGGAGAAGTCAAGTGTAATGTACAACCCAGCATGGGCAATAAACTATTCTGCTGCCATTACTAAGAATTGGATCATTGTCAGATCCTTAGCCTGTTAATTAAATTAGTAAACGAGAGATGAACTAGATTACCACAGTACATTAAGGACCTGTAGTTTGGAGTCCACTACTTGAACTCTGCAGAAATCCGCCAGTTCACGCAGTTCAGAGCAGAGATCCTGTTTTAAAAGCTAAATATTCCCAGCAAATCCTAATTCCAGTGGCTTTTTAATGAACAGACATCATTCTTCTGCCCTGGAGAAATGCAGAGTTTTCTCATTTTTAATCCAGCCATACCAGTTACATCAGTTACATGGATGATATCTTTAATTAGTGATGACCGATTTTTTTCTAGGCATTATAACAACGATGTTACCTATTTTTAACTTGGAAAAAAATGGAAATATTCATGTGTGGAAAAAAGCGCTTCAAACCAGTTTAGGTTTTGTTATGGTTTGCACGTTACTATAGGCTAAATACAGGTCTTTTGAATCAAAGAAATGTGAAGACTGTTTAATAAACACAAACTCAACATCCAACAGAGTAAAATATTAAATCTTAAACATTCAGCTTATGCAACATTCACCTCTGGGCTATTAGTGTGATGTAATCCAATTAAAGGTATGCTGGAGTGTCACTTCCATTAAAAGCAAACAATCTCTCCATCAGAATGTACAGACCTGCTTCATGTTTATTTCTCATTCTGAGGCTGGACCTTCTGAGTTCAATTCGTAGACACCAGAATGGTTTTAAAGTACCGACTCAAACTTCCAAGACCACATTATTTGAATGCTGCTCTGCTTTGTTCACCTTTTACAAACACCGGAGGAAATCGTTTAGGAAATCCACTTCTGTCAGTCCCCGATAAGTCCAGAAAAAAGACCCGTGCACTAAGATAATGTGTATATCAGCGCTACAATCTACAGGTTAACAGCTTTTTCTGACAGTAGTTTCTCACCTTGTCTCAATGGACTGATCAAGACTGATATCCCAGCAAGCTCAATGTATTCTACACGACTTAGAACAAGAAAAGAAAATCCCGCAGAGCCATTTGTAGGTATACTTTAAAATCATCAATATTTCCAAGAAGGACACCACCCTTCCTTCTCCCGTGTGGATTTTAGGAACATTTTCATAACTATCCAGATGCTGTATGGGAAGGGGGATTAAAATCCATCTTAATCACAGCTGTTAGCAAACAAAATTACATTTTCGGCTACAGCAGAAAGAACGGAGAGATACAAGCTATTCTGGAGCCTCAATCGCACCGATATCGGCTTCAATTAGAATCTACAGGAGGTTTTGCCAGCCCCTTGGCCTGCTGGATTTCAGATTTTCTAGGAGGCTTGAGAAGAGACTGCATTACACCCACAGCACAATGAGCACACATAGCACACTAGCTGCCTCACTTATAGACCCA